CAGATTAATACCTTGAATCCAGGATAATATACCATCCAACAGATTAACATCTTGAATCCTGAATAATATACCATCCAACAGATTAATACCTTGAATCCAGGATAATATACCATCCAACAGATTAACATCTTGAATCCTGAATAATATACCATCCAACAGATTAATACCTTGAATCCAGGATAATATACCATCCAACAGATTAATACCTTGAATCCAGAATAATATACCATCCAACAGAATAAGACATTCAATCCAGAATAATAATGTCAATGTCAATTTATTTATCTATCACATAATTCAAGAAAAGCTGACCAAAGTGCTTTATAGTTGACAGATAAAAATAGTAAAAAATGCATCTAGTGCCACTCAAAAACATAAAAAAGTTAACAGTAAATACACAACAACAATAAAATCAGCTCAGAATTTGTTCTCAGACTCTGCGTGGATCAAATGCCAAGGAATCCAGATGAGTCTTGAGCAAAGATTTAAAAGTCTCAACGGTCTGAGCGGTCTTTAAATTCTCTGGTAAATTGTTCCACAATTTTGGAGCTGCAACCGCAAAAGCCCGATCACCTCTGGACTTCAGTTTGGATCTGGGGACATCTAAGAGGAACTGGTTGGTAGACCGGAGTACTCTTACTGGAGTGTAGATGTTAATGAGATCACATAAATAAGACGGGCTAGACCTTTTAAGACTTTAAGAACAAGCAATAAAATCTTAAAATCAATCCGGAAGTGGACAGGAAACCAGTGGACAGGAAGCCAGTGGACAGGAAGCCAGTGGACAGGAAGCCAGTTGACAGGAAGCCAGTGGACAGGAAGCCAGTTGACAGGAAGCCAGTGGACAGGAAGCCAGGACAGGGGTTATGTGTTCATATTTTTTAGTTGCTGTTAAAAGATGAACTGCTGCATTCTGGACACATTGTAAGCGATGCAATGATGATTTGTCTAAACCAACATACAATGAATTACAGTCGTCCAAACGAGAGGTAATAAAAGCGTGAATCACCTTTTCAAGGTCTCTGAAAGGGAGACAAGACTTCACCTTGGCAACGAGTCTTATCTGGAAGAAACTGGATTTCACAACTGTGTTTGTCTGTTTGTCTAATTTAAAAGCACTATCAAAAATAACTCCCAGATTCCTGACAGTGGAGTGGCTGCATGAAGCCAAGGGGCCAAGAGTGTCAAGGATGTAACATTTACCAAAGCTGATGACTTCAGTTTTGTTTTCATTTAAATTCAGAAAATTTAGTTTTAACCAGACTTTAATGTCGTTTAGACAGTTCGAGTGGATCCCAGAATAAAGCCTTAAATCCATAACGATATACCACCCAATAGAATAAAACCTTGAATCCAGAATAATATACAACCGAACAAAGATGAGACGCACATCGGAGGCAATGAGGGGTTCAGAGTCATGCCCAGGGATACTTCAGCATGTGACTGCTGGTGGAATAGAACCCCCAACTCTTGCATTGGAGGACGACTGCTCTAACCACTCAGCCACAGCCGCCTTATACGCCATCTTGACTCAACCGTAAGACCATGAGTCCAGAAGAATACCATCCAACAGAGTAAAGACACTTGAGGCAAATCCACATTTCACATATGTGTAAGTTTATGCAGGGTCAGACCGTGGATTGTACAACGACGTTTCTAAGAAGCTTTGAGGGAAAATTTCTAAAACCCAACTCGTGTTTCTTTTTTCTCTGGTTGCTGATCTCAGGAATACACCATTGACGTGTTCTTTCGCCAGAGCTGGAAGGACGAGCGGCTGTGCTTCAAGGGGCCGATGGAGAAGCTGCCGTTAAACAACCTTCTGGCCAGCAATATCTGGACCCCCGATACGTTCTTCCTTAACGGCAAAAAGTCGATCGCTCATAACATGACCACGCCCAACAAGCTGCTGAGGCTGAAGGACGATGGCACTCTGCTTTACACCATGAGGTACGCCACAACGTGGGCCGACTATCCGTTTCTGAGCAACACGAGTGAGAACTCAGTTTGTTTTAGTGGACTTTATGTTGTGGTTTTAGTCACAGGAGTTTAGGAAGTGTAGATGAAGAACACAAGCAGCAGAGAGCATCCCACAAACTGACTGAAACCTGCCTCCTGCTGTGGGACAACAGCAGCACCTGGTGACCAAACTGCTGAACTGCATGCATGTTTGAATCATCCACATTACAGAAGGGGCAAGCATGTAGCACATACATGTAGCAAAGCCTTCCCTTTTTATGTTTCTAAAGCCAATTAAATAGTTGAAGTGAAAAATTGGCATGAAACAGGGCTATCCAATAGGTGGCCCGGGTTCCGGGAGCTCAGTCCGGTCCACCAATGAGTTCTTATAAAATAAAAGTAGATTTTAAATTGTGAATTAAATTTACATAATGACAATAATTCCCAGGTGTCTTGCCCTTTAGCTGTCGTCCGATAGTGAGACATTTAGTTGTCATCTTGTGGTCTCTGTGGGACCGTTTAAGGTCTGATTCTGTGCCTATCCTCGGGGTTTAACTACTGTAGCTGTAGAGCGACGAGTATCACAGTCGAGAGTCTCCCACCAGGATGAAAATTACTATGGCCACATGAACACATTCTGTGGATGTAAAGCATGTTCTCTGCTTAAACCAGACGTAGCAACGCTGACCTTTAACCTCAAGACTTACTGTGACCGGTAAAAAGCTGTGCTTGTGAGTGTGTAGTTGTATGGAAACCCAAGGGTACGTATCTCCATTCATCATGGGCATGAATGCCATTTTAGTTTAGGTATTTTAATTTTTCTATACCAAACAAAACGTCGACAGTTCGTAAAAACATGAACTGGGAACAAAAGTTTAATTTTATCGTGACGGTTGCCCACGGATTATTGATTTTAGTGACAGGAAGTAGGTTTGGAGGAGCCGATGTGCGAACACATGGTGGTCGATCGTAGAACTCCGACATGCAGGGTGGGGGTTGATATGCAACCCTTCGAGGAAGGATTTCTATTTTTCCCCGACTCGTGGCGATGTCTGATCATTTGTACGTACCATCACACCCACGGCATCATAAATAAAGACCGCTCCCCACGTAACACTTCTTATTTAACACTTTCAACGGCTCTTTTTTAAAAACAAGCCTGTTGGTGTGAAGACAAAGATGGAATCTGAGCCTTTTCAGCTCCGAGCTCAACTTACCGTATTTTTCAGACTATAAGGCGCACTTAAAGTCCTTGAATGTTCTCAAAAATCGTCAGAGCGCCTTCTGTGGATCTAACAGTGTTCTTGGCCGTTCCTTTGTTCCCTTACACAGGCAGAGACCCACATACTTAATGTATCCTTAAACTGGTTAAAAAGAGGTAAATAAATGTACTAACACAAGCCGATGTCGCCCGTCACTGAGGGATTTGAATAGTGACTGTTTTAGTGTTTGAAAAGAGGTAGGGTTTTATTTTAGTTCTTTATTTGCTTGTCCGCGGCGGAGCCAGAGGGTGGCCAATGGTGGCTTTGGTCACCATAGACTGACCACCCCAATCACATTCAGCTCACATTAACATTTTTAAACCTTTTCAGCAGCATTCAGCAGAAATAATTCAGCAACAAGAGAAAGTGTATTTCCTGTGAAAATGCATTGTGAATGCTTATTACTTAATAACTTGTTAAAAACAGCTGAAATTAGCTAAAATCATGCTGAAATGTAGCTGAAATAGGAGAGCAAGCCTAAGTCAGCAGAAGAAAGCAGAAAGACCATGTTTTTGCTGAATTAGATTTAAATAAGCAGAAATGAGCACAAAAATAAGGAAATTAGTTAAGTTTAAAAAAAAAAAAAGCTGAAATTAGTAACAACAAAAGAATAGCTGAAAAGGCAGAAAGAATCTTAAACAACCAGAAGGAAGTGGAAGGAGCTGAAATGAGCTGAAAAATGTGGAATTAGCTGAAAAGCTCAATTTAGCACAAAACAGCAGAAACAGCAGAAAAGTCTGAAACTATCAAAAATAACCTGCAAGGAGCGTGACAAGCTGAAATTATCTGAAAGAAGTTAATTAGGCTGACAGTAGCAGAAATTACCTCGGAAAACTTGAATTTATCTGAAAACAGCTGAAGTTAGCTACATAAATGCTTAAGAAGGGAAATGAAAAGGTAGAAAAAGCCTAAATTAGTAGAAGGAAGTGGAGAGAGCACAATTTTGCTCATTTAGGCTGAAACAAGCAGAAATGAGCACAAGAAAATGGAAATTGTCTGAAAAAAGATGAAATCAGCAAAAACAGTTGAAAGGTAGCTTAAAAAAAGCCGAAAGAAGCTTAAATTACATGAAGGAAGTGGCTAGAGCACATTTTTGCTGAATTAGACTGAAAAAGGTTTGAGTGGAAAAAATGTGGAATTAGCTGAAAAAGCTAAAATTAGGATAAAAAGAGCTAAATAGTAGCAAAAATAGCTGAAACGCATAAATAAGCTGAACTAATTCAGTTATTTCAGCTAATTTCAACTTGTTATGCTCCTTTCAGCCTGTTTATGCTAATTTCAGTTATTTCAGCTACTATTTAGCTGTTTTAAGCTGATATTAACGTTTTCAATTAATTGCACAGTTTTTGCACTCATTTCAACTTCTGTGTTCTTTCTGCTTTCTCTTGCTGATTTACGCTTGTTCTTCCATTTCAGCTACATTTCAGCATGTTTTTAGCTAATTTAAGCAGTTTTTCAGATGTTCTTCGGCAATAAGCATTCAAGCTGCATTTTCACAGGAAAACTACAGTTTGTCTGGTCCACATTGATATTCACCTCAGAATGATGTCGTATTGATTCATCTTGTGTTCTGCAAGTCACACAATAGATAACTTTACACACTAAAGCAGCTGATTTAGGCTCCTGCCCTCCTTCAGCTGATGATAACGAAGCATAGCTACACGGTTAATTAGAACGTGTTAAAATGGCCGACAGCCGTGTTCTCATTCAGTCATCCCAGGACTCCTCGCTGAAGAGTCGACTTTCCTTTCGCCACACTTTGCTTCGTTCGGCTTATTGGTTTAATTGGAGAACTCGTACCTGCAGCAGGTATCAGAGCAAAGCCAAACAAGTCCCGGTGGATTTCGTGTCATCAGGCGACACCGGCTCAACTTTATGAACGTTTATGCATTCCCTCTGTTGTGATCCATTTTTGCTCTGTGCGTTATTCAGCATCTTTCTGGTTCTGCAGTTTTTGTGCTATTTCAACAAACCGTCAATCAAAACGTTCGGCTCTTTCAGGACAATCCTGCTGTGACTTTTGGTATTGGTGCAACTTTAGCTTGTTGAAATATTTAGCCTTTTCTGACTTTTTTTCCTCATAGAAAATGAATTGAGCTCATTTTACATCCTTCAATCTTTAAATCTGTTTACAACCTTTCGCTGCTCCTTTCACATTTTGTTCAGCTTCCTTTTGCAAATTTAAACTTTTTTCAGCTAACTTCAGCTGTTTTATGCTCCTTGGATTCTTTCTGCTAACTACAACATTTTTGTGCTTCTTCTAACTTCTTTCAACTAATTTCACCTTGTTATGCTTCTTTCAGCTTATTTATGCAAGTTTAAACTTTTACTGCTATTTCAGCTACTATTTAGCTGTTTTAATGTGTTTTTTTTTATAGCTTTTTCAGCTAATTCCACTTTTTTTGCACTTGGGAAAAAACAAGCCAAATTCAGAAAATATGTGCTCTCTCCACCTCCTTCTGCTAATTTAAGCTTCTTTCTGCTTTTTTTTAGCTACATTTCAGCTGTTTTTTTGTGGCTAATTTCAGCTTTTTTAAATTTTAATAATTTCCACTTTTTTGTGCTAATTTCTGCTTCTTTCAGTTTAATTGGGCACACGGACTATTTTTACTTTCTTCTACTAATTTAAGCTTTTTCTACATTTTCAGCTACCTTTCTAGCATTTCTTAACTAATTTTAGCTGTTTTCAACCTAATTAACGTCTTTATGGTAATTTCAGCCTTTTTTCTGCTTTTTTGTGTTTCAGCTTCTATTTAACTATTTATGAGCTAAATTTAGCTTTTGCAGCTAATTCCACATTTTGTTAGCTCCTTCCACTTCCTTCTGGTAGCTTAAGCTTCTTTCAGACATTTTGGCTACTTTTCAGCTATTTTTTGCTAAATTCACTCTTTTTTAGCCAATTTCCTAATTTTATGCTCATTTCTGCTAATTTAAACCTTTGTTCTTTCTGCTGACTTAGGCTTGTTCTTCCATGTCAGTTACATTTCAGCTGTTTTTCAGCAAGTTCTTCAGTAATAAGCATTTATAGTGCAAGACGATCTGTAACTAACGTGGAGTTTTATGCCGTAATGATGGGAGTTTGAGTTAAACTGGTTTCCACTGCAGACTCTACACCATGTGGTTAATAATCATCATGGAGGAGGAGGAGGAGGCTTTGGGAGATGAAGAGCAGGCGAATGTTTTGTTCACTAGGTGGCAACAGAGTCTCCAAAACAGAAGAATCTGAGGCTTTTCTCTGACCTCATCATCATTCCTCTGCTCTGCAGCATCATGTTCTTCTAATTCATTAAAAGAATTGTATTTTTGTGATTAATCTGTCGTAGCAGTTCCGTCTTTAATCTCAGTCATGAGGGAGTGGGGAAACAATAGATTTGATGTGTTTGGTTCCAGGTTGACCATCTCTGCAGAATGCCCCATGCAGCTGGAGGACTTCCCCATGGACGCCCACGCCTGCCCCCTCAAGTTCGGCAGCTGTGAGTGTGAAATAAAACCGAACCCCCGCCGTCAGCGTCTATATCCACCCTCGTGTTAATCCCAGCTCAATCACGGTTACACAATGGCATTTTGTAGTCTGATGCTGCGAGAGTCACTCAGATTAAATTTACATTTAAAGCACGGCAGGACGCTTTTTAAAAATTATTTAATTTCATTTGTGGGGGAATCAATACATCCTCGTTTTTAGGAAACAGGGAGTTGGAAAGTTAGTGAAACTCAACAAAAATGTGCAAATAGTACTTTTTTCAGGTCAGAAAGGTTCTTGTAGGTTGATTATTTGCACATCATTTGCATAAAATAAATGTAAATTATAATTTATTCGACTGAAATTAAATTGGAAGGCAAATTTATATACAAAGTTTATTTCTTTATCAATATTTATGATCCTTCCTTTACAACAGCCATTAAAATTCCCCCCAAAAGTATTTTACTGCAGGCTTTTGGGCAAGCCCATTTATCACGTAATATCATGTTCATCATACTGTCCATCATGTTCAGCTTGCTATTTAAATGTATGGCAAGGCAAATTATCATATAATATACTGGATTTCCAAAATTTTTATGTGAAGCTGGCTTATGAAACAGTTGGCTTTTCAACTGTACGGCAAGAACATTTGTCATGTAATAGTTGACCTGGATTTGTAATATAAAGAATGGCATTTTATCATATAATAGGCTTAGTCAAACCACTTTGTTATGATATAATTTGACTTTTTTCTACACTAGTATGGTAAGTCAGTTGATTATGTAATGGTTGTATTTGATTTGAATAGTCAATATGGCAAAGTTATTTGTCATATAAAAGACTGTTTCTAAAAAAGCTATGCCAATCCATCTTATTTTAATACAGTTAGACTTGTTTATTTTTACATCAGTCTGACAAGCCAGTTTATCGTGGAATGGTTTAACTGATTTGGCCCAACTTTTAAGGCAAGGTAATTTATCATTTAATATACTAGGATTCTAAACATTTTTATGTGACGTGAGCTTATGATACAGTTAACCTTTTTTAACTGTATGGCAAATCATGGTTAATCAGATTTGTAAAATCGGAATGGCAAAGAAATGTATCATTTAATGTACTGGGTTTCTAAACCTTTTATGTGAAGCTAGCTTCTGATACAGTTATCCTTTGTTTTTAACAAACAAGCAAAGAGGGAGGTAGCTAAAACAAAGCAGAAGGTGTATGATGAGTTGCATGGAAGACTGGACACTAAAGAGGGCGAGAAGGACTTGTACCGATTGGCAAGACAGAGGGATCAGGCTGGAAAGTATGTGCAGCAGGTTAGGTTTGTTAAAGATAAGAATGGTAATGTTCTAACAAGTGAGGAAGGTGTAATGAGAAGATGGAAGGAGTACTTTGAGGAGCTAATGAATGAAGAGAATGAAAGAGAAAGAAGAGTAGAGGTCATAGAAACTGTGGACCAGGAAGTGGGAAAAATTAGTGAGGGTGAAGTCCGTAAAGCTCTGAAAATAATGAAGAAGAGGACGGCAGTAGGACCTGATGACCAGTGGAGGTTTGGAAATGTCTTGGAGGTTTAGAGAGGACATGGAGGTAGCTGGAGTGAAGATAGAATGAGATGGAGGACTCGCTGTGGCGACCCCTGAAGAGGAAAAAGCCGAAAGAAGAAGAAGAAGACGACGAGGAAGAAAAAGAAGTACTAGATTTTTTAAATCTTTCTGTTATGTCAACTTATCATATACAGTATTAGTTAGACAAGCTTTTCTTGCAACATCAGTATGGCAGTCCAAATTATCATGTAACGGTTAACCAGGATTTGTAAAATATGTATGGCAATGCAATTTATCATATAACAGTTTTAAGGTTCATAAGGTTTCTAAAATCCTTACGTTAAATCACTTAATATAACACATTTCGATTTGTTTTTTCAACCTTATATGGAAAGCCAGTTTATCATGTAATAGTAGAACTGGTTTTGTAACAATAGCAAGGCAATTTATTACATGTTTCTAAAACTTTTGTCAAGCTAGTTTTTATTAATATAGTTAGACTTGGTATTTCAACACTACTTTAACAGGCCAGTTTGAAGTGTAATGGTTAACCAGAATTTATAAAAACTGATAGGGCAAGGCAATTTATCATATATTAGCCTGGGTTTCTAAAACTCATATGTCAAGCCAACGTTTTATATTAAAGTTAGACTTGTTTTGTCAAAAGCAGTATGGCAAGCTAGTTTATCATGTTAGCCTGGATTTGTAAAACAAATATGGCAAGGGAATTTATTACATATTATGCTTGGTTTCAAAAGCCATTATATATCTATATGGCAAACCAGTTTATCATGTAATGGTTAAACTACATTTATAAAAACTGTATGGCTAGTCAATTTACAATGTAAATTAGTTTTTGTTAACCTTTATGTGAAACCAATTTATCATAGTTAGACATTAATTTTAACACCAGTACGGCAAGACAAATTACCAAATAAATTAAAAATGAAATATTAAAATAAATTAAATTAATCATATTATAGTCATACTGCCTTTTAAAGCCTACATCAAGAAGCTAATCTTACAAATTATCATATAATAAAGTAGCTTCTTATGCTTTAAAATTCAGTATATCAATAATATGTTAAAGTGGCTTGCCATATTTGCATTCCTTTTGGCTGCAATAAGTGCTCAAAAATTTCGTCTAACTTTTATTTGATACATTATTTAGATTTTTCAAGTCAGTATGGTAAAGCAATTTATTATAAAATAGTAACACTGAACGTGTACTACAAGGAGCCGAGATGGTGTAGGGGCAGGGCAGCTGACTCAGGACCAGAAGGTCCTGGTTTCAATCCCCAGTCATTGCACATCTCGTGGTGTCTCTGAGCAGGACACCCAATCCCGAATTGCTCTGCAAGCGCTTACATAGTGTATCCCAGCTGTGATGGGTTAAATGCAGAGAACTAATTTAATCTTTGTATGGGAACATACAATGACAACATATAACACTTTTTTTTTCTTTCTCTTTTTGCGTGTCAGTCTTAATATCCACAATGAACACAAGTGATATCTGAAACAGATGTTTGGGAATATTTAATTTGATTCTGATGAGTAAGGTCATTTTAACTCAGAGGGATGCAGTAACCAATGTCTAAAATGTAATTAGAGATGTGTGGTTTGATTATATATGGCTTGGGCCTGCCATAATTTCCTATACAGCTAACGAGGCCAGTGACTGGACAGGTCGTGCCTTTTCAACAGGGCAGCTCTGCGTGTCCTCCCTTTGAGGACACGTACTGAATATAGATGGGGTGAATCCCTGGTGGATATTTAAAGACGGATCTGCCCACACCTCAGGAGTCTCCTGGGCTTAAAGGATGAGGCTCTTATCCCCAGATTGCAGTGAGATGAGGCCCACCCACGCTCTCTATGTCACATTACACTTTTGAGTGCAATCCAATTACACAGTGAGAAGGTGCCGGGTCCTTCTAAGGCCGCCATCAACCTAATTAGCCCTGAGCGGGAATGCAGGTGAAAGGTGGGAAAGTCTAAAAAAGACGAGTGGATCAGAACGCAGACAGCAATAACTGTTGTAAAACTGAAACCTAAAAGAAGTAGGACATTAGCTAAAAACTGAAATGGCAAAATGCAAGCTAAAAGTATAAAAAAAGACTAGCTAGAAGGTAAAATAAGCAAAACAGTGGCTACATGCTGAAGGTAGTAAAAGGCAAGCAAAAACAAAAATGGAGGATAGTTAGAAGGTAAAGTAGCAAAATGCTAACTAAAAGTTAGAAGTGAGCAGAACAATGGATAGACACTAAACAGCAAAAGACTAGCTAAAAGTATATTTAAAAAACTAACTAGAAGGTAAAATTGGCAGTGACTGTATGCTAAAAGTAGCAAAATGCTAGCTTAAAGTAAAATTAGCAAAACTCTGGCCACACCATATGGCAAGCCCATTCATCATGTATCAGTTAAACTGGATTTGTAAATGTATGGCAAGGCAGATTATTATATAATAGCCAGTTTTCTAAAACTTTTATGTCAAGCTAGCTTTTTATAATACAGTAATACTTGGTATGTAAACACTAACAAGCCAGTTTGGCATGTAATGGTTTTACCGAATAAGAAAAAACAATACGGCAAGGCAATTTATCATATATTCATCTGGGTTTCTAAAACATAAAATGCTAGCTTAAACATGAAATTAGCAAAACTCTGGCTATATATTAAAAGTAGCAAAGAGTATAAAAGGGTAAAAGTAGCAGAATGGTAGCTTAAAGCTAAACTAGCAAAAGGTTTGCTAAAATATAAAATGATAGCTAGAAGGTAAAAGTAACAAAATGATCGTGACAGCTAAAAGAAGTCAAAGGCTTGCTAAAATTATAATTAGGTTAGCTAGAGGGTAAAAATAGCAAACCGTTGGCTACATGTTAAACATAAAATAAGCTAGCTAAAAGGTAAAATGCTAGCTAGAAGTTTAAAGTAGCAAAATGGTAGCTAAAATCTAAAGTAGCAAAAGATGAGCTAATAGTATAAAGAGGCTAGTGACAAGGTATAAGTAGCAAAATGGAGGCTACATGCAAAAATGGCAAGAGGCTAGCTAAAAGAAAACAAGGCTAGCAAAACTATAAAAATAGCAAAACAATAGTTATTTACAAAAAAAAAAAGCACAAAGCTTATTAAAAGCATTAAAAGGTTAGCTAGATGGTAAAAGTGGCAAAATGATAGCTAAAGATAAAAGTAGCAAAATTCTGGCTACATGCTAAAATGGTAAAAGCCTAGCTAAAAAAGTAGCTAAAATATAAAAGTAGCAAAACATTGGTTATATACTAAAAATAGCACAAAGGTCATTAAAAGTATAAAAAGGCTAGCTGGACAGTAAAAGTGGCAAAATGATAGCTAAAAGTAAAAGTAGCAAAATGGTGACTATATGCTACAATGGTAAAAAAAAAAGTAGCTTAAAGTTATATAAAAAAGGCTAACTAAAATGTAAAAGTAGCAAAATTGTGGCTATAGGCCTACTAATAGTAACAAATGGCTAGCTAAAGAATAAAAGTAGCATAACCGCAAATAAAAACCAAAACTAATAAAGAAGACAAAGACAGAGCGAGCACGGTGAACAAATTTCAACAATGCTTTTGTTTATTTGAAGGAATTCACTTCGAAGCATCATAAAAAATTGTAAGTAAAGTTAATTATTTTCAAAAGTCTAAAAGTTACAAAACTTTAAAATCACAGCAGCCGTGAACACATACCAGCTGGATCCTCTTAGACCCGATAAGTTTCATGAATCATCTTTCACAGCATCTGACAACCAGAAATGAATGATTTGAACCCTGGACGGACTCAGTCGGAGACTAATCAAACTAAAATCCAGCCCAGTAACATACCAGTTCATGTACTGGATTTTGACGAAGGCTAATTTTCATGGAACGTCCCAAATGATTACCCTTGGATTTAGCCTCAATAATGTGCATAACTGTCCATTCGGCACCTCCAGGATTCATTTGATGAAGAAGAACTTGATGTTGTTACCCTCTGCCCCGGCTTGTAGCCTTTTAAGAACGTCAAACTGACCCTCATTTCGAAGCAGATAATTGTTTTGCCTAAAAGCTTCTCTGCCCGTGTGTTTTTCAAATGTTCGCTTTTATGTGTTAATTCAAAAACTGACCTCTTACTTCAGGTCTAAAACATGTCTGCAGAAATCCTCTGCCCATGCTTTCACCCTCTCGAGATATCTGGTGCAATAATCAGCGCTCGGGCGTCTGGAGATTTCATCACAACTGTGATGCAACACGTCTTGGTTAATTTGACACATTCAGATTTTTACTGACAGGGGAGCTCGCCTCTGACCCACAACCGGGAGGGTAATGGGGAAAAAAACCAAGTTATCCACCCACATAGACACACGGAGACCAAACAGACACCCAGTCAAATTTCTTTTCTTGGCCTTCAGCTAGTTGCTTGATCGAAAAGGGACAGAGAAGTCCCATCAGAGCTCCAACCAGTTGGAGTCAATGAGTGTTAGCTGCATCGTAATAAAACCCAAAGGGGTCTTCTTGAATGACTGCTTGTTTTGACGGCCTCTTTCTGTTTCAGATGCCTATCCCGTGTCGGAGGTGGTTTACACTTGGACTCAGGGGGCTGCCAAGTCCGTGGTGGTGGCAGAAGACGGCTCCAGGCTCAACCAGTACCATCTTATCGGACAAACGGCTGGCACTGAGGACATACACACCAGCAGAGGTGCGTGTCAATAAGAACCAACCACTGGTCCATCGTCTTGAACGCCTTAGAGTCTGTGGATAAACGCAACCACTGGAACAGGATAAAAATCAAACCAGAACGCAGCGGGACATGTCCATAACTGCTCATTCCACTTTAACCTTCATGTTGCCATTGAGTCAAATTGACTCGTTGGTCATTTTGACCTAAGGGCAGCAGGGGGTTAGAGTTCACATTATGAATAGGGGACTTCAGTCCAAATCTCTCGCCTACCCTTTGGTGCTTAATTCAAAGTCAAAAACTTTAGTAGATTTGGATTTTACGTTAAAAAAAAAAGAAACATACACTCATATATAGGGAATAAACTTATCTGCCCTGCAACAGACTTTGGCAAATGTGTTCCCTGTCACATGGAACCGAAGATGAAATCACATGGGGCTTTAATGAGGTATAGGTAGCTATAGTGCGTTTATAGAAAAACTGGCTATGATTGCATTTTGCCAAAATATGATGAATTAATACCTTATCTATTGGTACCTTGAGTAAAATGTCCAAAATGTAATCCTAAAGAATGTTTCGAAGCACTTTTCTGAGCAGTGGCAACAAATAACGATGACTTTGAGCAGGAAATTCTTAACTTTTTGCTACTTTCCTTGCATGCGAGTGAAGCCGTTTTCAACATAAGCTAAGACATCCTGATATGCAAATATGGTTTTAGATTTTTCCTTTCTAATGGTATCAATACGCCCTCATTACAGTATGTTATAAACAGGATTCAGAGCAGTTTTCCATGGGTTATCCTGGTTTGCAAGACAAACCCCTCAAAATATCAGGACGATCTAGGAACCTGAAAATGTGCTCAATCCATTTTGACCAAATCTGGCTTAATCCCAGAGTCAGTGTCATTTATTTTGATGCTTCTTAAGGGAGACTGGCGTTAATACAACGTAACCATACATTTCACTGAAGGTCGTGTCTAAAATATTTCTAATGAAATGATGCTACATTTTGTTATCCTTGTTACATCAACACTGATCAAAGACATCAGAATATAATAAACTAGACATTATAAAGATTTTTGTGCCGGTAAAAAACGTTTTCAACAAAGGAAACATTAGATTTATGAGATGTTGTGTTTCCGGAAAATAGCACCAAGTTGTAAAATGGTGGCTAAATGTTAAAGATAAATAAAACATAGCAAAAAAGTAATAAAAAAAATAGCTAGAAGGTTGCAAATCAGTAGCTAACTGAAGTAGCAAAAAAAAATTGCTAAAAGTTTAAAGTAGCAGAATGGTAGTTAAAAACAAGTAGTAATTGGCTAATTAGAAGTATAAAAGGTTAGCTAGAAGGTTAGAAGTAACAGAATGGTGACTAGACCCTAGAAGTAACAAAAAGCTACAAGAAGTACCAAAGTCCATGCTCAGTAATTCTACCAAGATGTAGAAATGCTTGCTAAAAGATAATTATAATGAAACAGTAGCTATAGACTAAAGTAGCAAAAGACAAAGGCTAGCTAGAATGTAAAAGTAGCAAAATGGTTGCTACATGCTAAAAGTTGCAAAACAGTAGAAAAACTAAACTAAAACAGAAGTTAGCTAATTGTAGAAAAAATACAGCTACAAGGTAATCAGAATTCCAACTGTAGGCAAAAGTAGCAAAAGGTTAGCTAAATGGTAAAGGTAGCAAAATGATGGCTATATGCTAAAGTATCAAAAGGCTAGCTAAAAGTTAAACAAAAATAGCAGAAATGTGACTAATAAACAAAAGCTAATTTGAGAGATTTTATGTTTTTATGTTTTTCATCTCAAATCATCATGTAATATTTGTAATTAAATACTAAAAGTTGCTAACGACAAACATCCATCCATTCTCTTTCGCTTATCCGGGGTCGGGTCGTGGGGGTAGCAGCTTAAGTAGGGAGGCCCAGACTTCCCTCTCCCCAGCCACTTGGTCCAGCTCCACTGGGGGAATCCCGAGGCGTTCCCAGGCCAGCTGAGAAACATAGTCCCTCCAGCGTGTCCTGGGTCTTCCTCTGGGTCTCCTCCCGGTGGGACGTGTCCGGAACACCTCACCAGGGAGGCGTCCAGGAGACATCCTAAACAGATGCCCGAGCCACCTCAACTGGCTCGTCTCGACGTGGAGAAGCAGCGGCTCTACTCTGAGTCCCTCCCGGATGATCGAGCTTCTCACCCTGTCTCTAAGGGAGAGCCCAGACACCCTGCGGAGAAAACTCATTTCGACCACTTGTATCCGAGATCTCGTTCTTTTGGTCACAACCCAAAGCTCGTGACCATAGATGAGGGTAGGAACGTAGATCGATTGGTAAATTGAGAGCTTCGCCTTTTGACTCAGCTCTCTCTTCACCACGACAGACCGGTACAACGCCCACTTCACTGCAGACGCTGCACCTATCCGCCTATCGATCTCATGCTCCATTTTCCCCTCATTGGCGAACAAGACCCCGAGATACTTGAACTCCTCCACTTGGGGCAGGACCTCCTCTCTAACCCGAGGAGGGCACTCTACCCTTTTCCAGCTCAAGACCATGGCCTCGGATTTGGAGGAACTGATCCTCATCCCGGCCGCATCACACTCGGCTGCGAACAGCTCCAGCGAAAGCTGTAGATCACGACGTGATGAAGCCAATAGGACCACATCATCTGCAAAAAGCAGAGAAGTGATCCTAAGGCCACCAAAACGGATCCCCTCAACACCTCGGCTGCACCTAGAAATTCTGTCCATAAAAGTTATGAACAGAATCAGTGACAACGGGCAACCTTGGCAGAGTCCAACTCTCACTGGGATGAGTCCGACCTACTGCCGGCATGCAGACCTAGCTCCGACACAAGTTGTACAGGGACCTAACAGCCCGTATCAAAGGGCCGGGTACCCCATACTCCCAGAGTACCCCCCACAGGGCTCCCCGAGGGACTCGGTAGAACGCCTTCTCCAAGTCCACAAAGCACTACACAAAGCAAACTCTCACGCACCCTCCAGGACCCTGCTCAGGGTGTAGAGCTGGTCCAGTGTTCCACGACCAGGACGAAAACCGCACTGCTCCTCCTGAATCCGAGATAGCTAGAAGCTATCGACAAACGTCATAGCACCTATATTCTGATGATAGTGTCCCACTTTCATGGTTTTCTTAGTTATTTGTATAATATTCTCCAAATGGATCCTCCATATTTGTATTTTAGCCACTATTTATACTTTGGAGTTAAATTAGTTATGGTGTTCATGGTGCAGTAATAAATACTTGATGGAAGAAAATTACAGAGGTTGTAATTTGTATCAACTAATGGACACATGAACCTCTATGTTTTCTCCGAGTTTGGGACATCATTTCATAGAAACAATGACCTGTTTCATTATCCCGTATGTTTTATTGTTGGTCTTTATGTGAAAACAAAATGCTACAACGCTCACGTCAAGCTCTGATGCTTCTTCCACAGTGTTTCCTCATTTAGTGTCTGCTGGGTTATTTATGTCAAAAGGCATTTACGTTGGATAAAAGCTCCACTAATCTTCCATCAGAAATGAGGTCAAATATCAGCAACAAACCTTTGTGGGGAAAAAAAAAACAAAAGTAATTTTAGTGCAAACAGTTGCAGACACCCACCTTTGGTCATAAATTGTTAAAAACACACCTGTGACTTCAGTTGAAATAATAGTTTTCTTTGTAGCTTGTGTCATTTAGTGCTGTTAAAAAAAAGATAAGTCTTGGGATAAATTACCTTGCCTTAGTTCAGGGGTGTCCAGTCCTGGTCCACAAGGGCCAGTCTCCTGCATGTTTTAGATGTTTCTCTGCTCCAACACACCTGATCTGAATTAATGAGGTTTTAACAGAACACAAAGAGGCGAACCCTTGAATCAGGTGTGTTGGTGCAGAGAAACGAGTAAAACATGCAGGTAATATAGGTTTGGTGTTTGTCGACAATAAGAGGTGCACAAAAATATTAGCAGCTTTTATCTTTTTTTTTTAACCAAACTTATTATAAATGTCACCAAATCCTCTTTGACATCGAGCTGGAGAGAACAAATCCTGGTTGAAACGTTGTGTGTGACTCTGGTTTGTAAAGGTCCAAAACGATAGTCGTATCGTAAAGAGCATTCACGAACACCAACTTGAGTTTAGAACGTCTCTGAACTTTGCCGATGATGGTAAGGTGTTTGTTTGCAGGGGTTACAGGATCTGTGCGGATAAAAAAAACAAAACTAAATACGATTTAGGTCAAAGAAGGCTCAGACCAATAAAAGTGAAAATTCAAGTCTTTAGAATTGGGGTTCTGTGGAAAAGCTATGAGCAATTAAAATCTTACCTGTTGTAAATATCTCATTGGTCTGGTCCAAATGCGCTAACAGCTAGTCATAGTAAAGCCAAGGTCAAACTAGCAGGACGTGCAACCAGGCTGCTACAGCTAGCTGCTACCGTTATTATATTTGCCAATAACCAAAGACTTGTATGTAAATACCTTTAAGAAAGCTGACAATGCTAAAAAGGTTTATAAAATAATAGCATGAACTGCTAAACAAATCTTTGAAGCTGTTTTAAGACGACAAGAATCCGCTTTGATCTTGGTGCCGCTCCGGCTAGCATTTAGCTCGTCAAACTGATTAGAACAGGTATCTCATTTCAAACAACCTGAATGATCGTCTTAAGACTTTTTTTTAATAGCAAAAAGCTCTCGAATGAGTTCAAAGGTGCATTGTACTCCACAACGACTTTTGTGTCCCGTCCCGGCGTGAAAAGGGGGAATTGGAAATACCGTCTGTCCGTCCTTTCTTTTGTGAATGTTGCATTAGAAAAACAAGTGATGTACCAACTTCCATTTTGGTGTATGGCTACATCTAAGCGTAAGAAAGTTTCCGTTTGAAAATGGATTGCCATGTCAAAATCCAAGATGGCCACCATCACCATATATATATATATATATGTAAACTGGCCACCCCAGACATTTGAGGAAACTATGCTTTCAAGTTTCATATTGCTTAAAATGATAGTTTACTCAAATGATTGGGGTGGTCCAAGATTAATTGATGGTGGCCAATGCTACCATTGACCACCCCCTGACTCCACCATTGGCGGATGGTGAATGGAGGTTCAAATTGCTCCCTTCGCTCACCAAGATCCGTCACTCTGCGTCGCCTTGAACAATCTGGGAAACTGCCCACAAGGTAACATCTACTCTCCTTGCACCAAAAACTTTTTCCAGTGCAATTCCAGTCCAGAAAAACACCCTGTAAACTACAAACATTCACTATTCACGTCTTCAGCGATGGGGGACATGGACGTACCGCTTGTTTAGGTTGGAGAAACCAAACATCTCCCAGAACCTCAGAGCCGACTTTTTATTTGCGCTCCACTTTTTACACCAAAAAGCTCCAACGAATTTACATCTTTAAAAAAAATCTTTTTGAGACATTCCTCTTCTGGGTTTGGTCCTTCGGCTTTTTCCAGCCCTGTTTACCTCGACACACGATCCTTCTAATGAAGTTCTTCACAACTCTTTCTTGGTTAATTTGCACCTTTTTTTTTCCTCGTTCTATTTGTAACCCGGGTGATAATTTGTTGAAAATTAATTTAAATTAACAAATCCATTGGAGAAGCTGCCTAAAACTGGAAGTGATTATATCTATAAAGGCAACAAAAAAAAGTACAAGAAGGTATGAGAGAATGGGTAGTTTTGGTCTTTTTCTATAACTTTTTCAATGTAACTTTTGGTCAATGCATGTGTTTACATGGGAAAAAGCTTGATAAAGGTAAATCATTCCAGCTTCTACCACACCCAAAATCAGCTATTTTAATAGTTTTAAAGTTTGTTTTTGTAGCAGCCATTACGAATAGAAGCGACTCAGTTGTAGTGATGCGGTATATCCACTGATTACTGTTTGACAGCTCCATTAACATCAGTACAGTGGTTGGTGAGCCATTTTGCAGACACATATACTCTTATCTATTCCCATTTGGTGTTGGGCGATAAAAAAAATCCTCACTTTACATAATGGCTTTCTTGGTCAGATCATTTATTCAGGATGTGATGGATGATAAGCGTAAAGCCAAGTAACGTGATGTAACAAAATCTAGATTAAAAAAGAAAAAAAGGTTGTGCGGCGTGATGGTCGTGCAAGAGATGCTGGGTGGACAAGAGTGGCCTATTCGTCACACAACCAGCTGTCTACAGGCCCGGACAGCCCCGTCCGACAACACTTATCTCTGCGACAGCCACACACACACAGAAATAGAGAGACCTCGGGTTAATCCGCAACCCCCACCACCACTGCCATCATCCAACCACCCATCAGTATTCCCATAAGAAGATGACATCACAGATCAGCGAGGGACTGGTTGGGTGGCTGTCGCTGAGTGCATCTGTCCTCGTAAATTTCTCTTTGTGAATGCAAAAAGGTTGGCGTACGAAAACACGCAAAATGAGGTCATCTGAAGTTTGACTCCAGGTGAGGAGTCAGGTTAGGGTTGAGGAGAGACATGATGTCTGAAAGCATGCCACTTTTAGGTTTGCTATAAAGGAAAAACCTGGGCATGGACGCAGGTTTGGTCAAAGAACATTTGTGTGTTGGGATTGGACAGACTTGCTCTGACAAGTGAGATGGATTGGGGGTGGGGGTGGAGTGGGGGATTGAAAGGCATCTGTTTAATACTCTTATGTAAAGCGGAACTGTAGACTTCCCCTTAGTTTCTAGAGTTGGTATTAAAAGCCTGGATTTCCCTTGGGATTTTTTTGTTTGGACACCGTAGCTGAAAGGGTGCAAAGTTCACTGATTAAAGGAGTACAGCTGGCTGATAAACCACCCATACTGCTGATTGGTTTGAGACTAGTTTGCTGACCAGGTTGCTTTTGAAACAGTTCTGAAACGTTAATGTTTTATTCACATCCGGAGTACAGATTTATTTTGGACAACGGTTGCATTGCAATGGTTGCTGTTGGTACGGCCATCAGCAGTAGGTAGCGAAACCTGATCCATACCCAGGTTTGTCTCCACAAAGTATTCCTAAAAGGATTTGACAATCATAAAACTAGTTGTTTTAAAATACCAACCAAAAACTCCATGAATAAAACAAAATACCTTGGAATTGACTAACGTTCTGTATCGTAAATAGGGTATTGTGGTTGCAGTCTTCCTCTGGTGGCGTGAGAGCTGTATAAAACCCAGTATAAAGCCAGTTTCTCACTGACCTACAACTGTTGGCAAACTGCGTTGTGAAGAAGTCTTCAAAAAGGTCTCGAAAAGTTCACAGTTTCTTCACGTGAGTCAAAAGGGCCTGTCTCGTCACTTGAGTTTAGATCCCGTTTAAAAGACTTCTTGGATAATTTATTCTCAAAATAGCTTCAGGGTTGATCCAGACATCTAGAAACTGTTTTTACTTCTGTTGGGAGTGTCTCAAATTAGTCTGAAACCCCTCTCAATTTTATTGCGGCAATTTCAAATCTATATCAACCTACCTACATTTCTGTTGCGGTGTCTCAAACCTTCCAAGAACCCTTCTCAGTTTTCTCTTGGGTATCTGGAACCAGTCTCAAACTCTCCTCAGTTGAGTTTTTTGTTAATCCTAAACTGGTAATCTGTATTTTGACACTTACATGAGCTGTCCTGTTACAAAAAAAACATTCAAGACTGCATCCAGAATGCCCGAGTCTAAAAAATTACGCCATCAAAATACAATTACTTGCAAAAATCTGCCTTTCTTCATTTTAAAAGTGTACACAACTCCAGTAGAATAAAATGTAAACGCTGCCAAGGTGGGCGGACATATGATGTGGGAGGCTAAATAACGTTCAATGTCCAAAATCCAAATTTTCAAGTAGCGCACTCAAAATTTGGTTGTTTAAAATGTTGCTGCTCGCTTCAAAATTCAGTGACACTGCAGCTGAAAATTTGCCTATTTCTTCTGTCCAGCTTTAAAACATTTTTCCAAATTTGGACAGTTTTACTAAAGAAACTAGACTATTGCCAGTAGCAATCATCCATCATTTTGTTTTTTGTAACTAGGGTTATACCTTCACTTTGTTGTTGGTGTCTTGGTGGTTTCAGTGCTCCTGTATTCGCTTTTTCAGTTGACTTTGCCCGATAGTTCTAGTTATTGAACCACCGCCTGCTGTCGCGACGACGAAATGTCGCGCAACATCTGGAAATGAGATCCTGATTCGCACCAGTTAAAGCCTCTGCCTGGGGAACCATCCAAATCAGCAGTGAGACGCCGCTGATACGTTTGAGCTCACGTGTTACATTCGGTTCAGTAGGCTAATTCACTTTGTGTAGATTTGGTTAATGACGTTTACAGAGCAAGTGCAACTTTTTCCCACCTGTCAGACCTTGATCTGCTCGTGCTGCCATGCTCTGAGTGAAGTACAGTTGTTGGTGAAGTTCAGTGATGACAGAAGCTCATTGTTCATACTGTTTGACTGAAAGAAATCCAACGAACTCTGGACTTTCTTGTGGTCTAACTCTCAAAAATCCCATCCTGGTTCCAAGTTGCACGGCCTCAATTTGCCACTTTTCTTGGACCAAACTTGACCAACATCACCTCTGACACCTAAAGACTTTCTAGAGGAAGGTCTTTCAAGGCTTCTGAACATTCATTTGTCAAATAGGAAACTTTCATGAACTGTTTTATTTAACCTGAAACTGTCGTTAACTTTAAAATCTCCAAAGCCCTAGTATGTGCTAAGGGACAACAAATGGCATAGAGGTGTTTGAGCTTGGTGTAGTTGCATTGGCCACATCTATTTTTAGACAAAACATCTATTTGAGGACATGAAAGTGGAGATAAGTCAATGAGTTTTACCTTAAATAGCCAACACCTTTAAGGACATGGTTTAATCTGCTTTAGATAGCAATATCTACCCTTAAATAACTTTGTAACTCGGAACGGAGGTGACAGTTGACCTGGTTTTGACTCACCAGTTGACCAGCATGGCAGCATTGTTCCCTGATATAAACGGAAGTTCTCCTCGGACGTTGTGAAAAAGCAGTAAGATCCACCAGTGGAACATGTTCCTCCTCAAACCTTGGCCCCTGGTCCTGTAGGAGTCCACGCATCCAGAATGAAGGTGTCCCAGGTCAGCGGAACCTGGATGCGCCTGAAAGTTCGCAACGGTGGTCCACGGGTTGCTTAGGATCCAGGACATGGTGCAGTCAGGAGGGCTTCAGAGGACCCAGGTGGTGATCCCGAGGGTGTCCCGATCGAGGCATCGAGGTGGCGGTAAATGAATAAACCTAAGGTTCAACCAGCTGTCAACCGATTCCTGCGGTACAGTTTTCTTTGGTTGACCATTATTCCCAGAAATCGTCCCAAAAAATGTCCCGACTAATGAAATAAGCACAAGCAAAAACTTTAGGGACTACCCTGGAAGCTACCCCCCCTCCATGCCACCATGAGCAGCGAGCGTCCTCCACCGCAGTGTGTACTCATCAACAATTAGAAATCGTGATTTGAGTGTGTGCGTGGGTGTTGACTGGGTGGAGCTTCGCTGAGGATCCCAGGACAGGAATCCTCTTTTCACCCTGCCTCCCTCCTTCCCTTCCTTCCCCCTTTGCTCCCTCTCTTCCTCTCACTGATGGCAGGATGCAGATTGTAGTTGGGGATTAGGGAGGTTCAAAAATCGGATTTTGCCCCGAGAAAGCCTCATGTGTTGCTCTGTGCACGGTGTGCGTGTGGTTAGTGGTTACATTTTTTTTTTTTTATAGTAACACGGTGCCTGCGGTGATAAACAGCAATGGGATTTCTTTTTTTTTTAAGCTTCAAATATAAGATTGCTTCCCCTCGGTTATCTTTTCCCCTTTATCCCCGAACGTCGTCGCCTTGTTATCAAACCTCGGACGTCAAATCCATCGTCGTGTTCTCGCAGTAATTAACTCAGCTTGCACTCATTTTTCACGTTACTCGTGGATTTAAAGCCAGTTTAATTTAGCTGTTACGTTAGGCTGAATAGAAAACGTCCTCTTTATCCCCTCTTCATTTTTTCCCACTATCTCCCCCCACCCCTGTTATCTGTTCTGCACTCTCTTGATTTGATACCTGAACAAGAGGAACATCACAGTATCTCCGTTCCACTAAAGAAAATCCAGAAAATAATGATAAAATGGGTACTAGCACGTTATATCCCTACACATGTGGTATGAGTGCTGTTGTGCACACAGAACTTCTTTTTGGACGAGCAAGATAAAACAAGCGGTACGCCGATGTCCCCTGTTGCTGAGGGATTTGATCTTTTTTGTAGTTTTCTAGATGGACTGAACTTTAACAGGGAATGCAAGTAAACCTTATTGTTTTTGGTGCAAGATATTCAAGAAGGTTGGAGTTTGTGTATAAGAACGGAGGTAGTTTTTTTTTTTGCTTGTCCGAGTCAGTGGTAATAGTAATCTACAAGACCTTGGCCGCCATAGATTACTATTTGGCCACCACAATCGTTTGAGGAAACTATACTTTCAAACGGTGGCACAGTTGGTAGAGCTCTCAGAGAGAAGGTTGTCGGTTCAAATCCCGGCCCGGGACCTTTCTGGGAGGAGTTTGCATGTTCTCTTCATGCGCGCGTGGGTTTTCTCCGAGTACTCCGGTTTCTTCCCACCAGTGGTGGAGAAAGTCCTCAAACTCTGTACTTAAGTAAAAGTACAAACAAACAGACGAAAATGCACTCTAGTAAAAGTAGAAGTACTTGTTGAATGTATTACCTAACAATGGTCTACAGTATCATTAAGTGCCTACTGAATGTATATTTTCTGTAAAACATTAATAGTGTTGAGTCATTTTAATGAACGATGCTGCAGATAATACATGTTTTTATTGGGTTCACTCTGTGACACCGTGCACACCTGGACTTGTGATTCTGTGTCAAAATTTCAGGGATGACCTGCAGAGTTACATGCCATTTATCAAAATAAGAAACAGGAACGATTATACTTTAAAAAGTTTTTATTCAACGCAAAGGAAAATCATTGTAATTTTAACAGCAGTAAAAACATTTTAGTAAAAGTTGTCTGTCTGAAAAAATGAGCATTAGACACAACAAATGAATAAACTCTGATCATTTCAACTCCAGTTTGTCATCAACTCTAGTTAAAACACTGTCTAAACCTTGTAATGGGTCAATAGTGAACAATATTTTAACTTCCTGACGCTATTTTCAAAACTTGGACCCGAGTGTCGAACCATTTGGAGACATCTCTCGTCTCCTAACATCATGAACTGGCACATTTTAATGTTGCAGCAAGAATTTCTTGTTCAAGTTCAGAAGAAGTTGGTTTTCAAAGTTTTTTGAGTCCAGTCTGGTTCTTTTGGGAGAGAGAATCTGTCCCACTGTACTTAATAGTCTTTCAATAATCTTTCAATAGGGTTGGCCAATAGAGGATGTAGGGGAATACGTGTACAGGATACTGGACTTCTGGTCCGTTCAAACCCGTACCCTTTAACAGGTTTTACTCTGGACCGGCCTCACCTCAAACATATGAGTTCTTGTAACGAACTTAATTTCTGTCCCTTGAAGAAAACACGAAGAATCCGTAATTTAAATACAATTCTGTAATGTTTATTTTCAGTTTGAATGATGACATGAACATTATGGCAAATGTTGAATATGAATATGACCCATTAATATTATTTTGGAAAGTAAATGGCATAAATCTGAGGACTTTGAGAAGGGGTTTTGATTCAACTTGGACTAAGGTCTAGCTCTTAATGTTAAAATTTAGGTAAATTTATCTCAGATTCATGAATTAAATTATCTAAACAAACTTAGTTGGCACAGTTTTGTGGTCCTCTCATCAGAAGGAAGATGTTCATCTCTCATTACCACAGTGGATGCATGAAGAAAGCCGGTGGCCCGCTGAGGAACAGCTTCTACCCTGAGGCTGTTAGACTCATGAATCTCTAACCAGAATAATCACTGTGAAAAAAATCACACCATGTTGCTGCTGATCTGTTTCATGTTGCTGCTGATCTGTTTCAATGTTGCTGCTGATCTGTTTCATGTTGCTGCTGATCTGTTTCATGTTGCT